TTTAATAAAAATAGGAAGGATGCATTTTCATTCATTTCTTCTTGTGTCTTCATTATTTCCATCTTTCAAGCACATCTTGCCAACATATCCCATTTCATTCAATTTTAGGTCTTTAAATGAACATGAAGATAATCATGGTAACAATCAAGATGTTAGTTTTGAGAATTCAATTAACACTGATGAACTTGACAATAAAGAGAATTCTGAAGAATATGTTATGCCTTCGGACCTAATGAGATTGATTGAATAAGAAAATATGCCAATTAAGCCTCATCAGGAGATAGTTGACTTAGTGAATTTGAGAGATGAAGAGAATAAGAAAGAGGTCAGAATGGGCACTTCACTTTCATCAGGAGATAGGCAACGATTGGTAGACCTACTTCGAGAATTTGTTGATGTATTTGCTTCGTCTTACCAGGATATGCCAGGGCTGAGCGCGGAGATAGTGGAGCACAGATTGCCCTTAAAATCAGAATGTAAGCCAGTTCAGCAGAAACTGAGACGGATAAAGTCTGAAATACTACTAAAGATTAAAAAAGAGGTAAAGAAACAATTTGATGCAGGTTTTCTACAAGTGGCTAAGTATCCAGAGTGGGTAGCCAATATAGTCCCGATTCTTAAGAAGGATAGAAAGGTATGAATATGTGTAGACTATCGAGACTTGAATAAGGCTAGTCCAAAGGATAACTTTTTTTTACCTCGTATCGACACACTAGTAGATAACACGGCTAAGCATTCAATTTTTTCCTTTATGGATGGTTTCTCAGGGTATAATCAGATAAAAATGGCTGCAGATGATATGGAAAAAACTACTTTCATGATTATGTGAGGAACCTTTTGTTATAAGGTCATGCCTTTTGGGTTAAAGAATGCTAGGGCAACATATCAAAGGGCCATGGTAACACTTTTTCATGACATGATGCACAAAGAGATCGAGGTGTATGTAGACGATATGATTGTAAAGTCTCTATGAGGATGAATATCATGTCACCAGTCTCAGAAAGTTATTTGAAAGGTTGAGAATATTTCAGCTTAAATTAAACCCAGCCAAGTGCACCTTTGGGGTAAAGTCAGGGAAGTTACTAGGCTTTGCGGTCAATGAAAGAGGAATTGAAGTCGATCCAGATAAGATACAGGCCATTCAAAATTTGTCACCTCCTAGCACACCAAAGGAAGTTCGAGATTTTCTGGGGAGATTGAACTATATTTTTCGGTTTATCTCTCAGCTTACTTACAAATTTGGTCCCATATTTAAGCTTCTCCGTAAGAATAATCCTGAGAAATGGAATGAAGAATGTCAAGAGGCGTTTGATAAAATTAAGCAATATTTATCGAACCCTCAAGTATTGATGCCACTTGTTCTAGGAAAACTTTTAATTTTATACTTAACTGTATGTGAAAATTCAATGGGATGTGTGCTGGGGCAGCAAGATGAGGCTAGCCGAAAGGAGAGAGCTATTTACTATCTGAGTAAAAAGTTCACGAAATATGAATCCAAGTATTCTTCATTAAAGAAAATGTGTTGTGCATTAGCATGGACTGCTAAAAGACTTAAATAGTATATGCTCTATCATACTACGTGGCTCATAGCAAAAATTGGATCCAATTAAGTATATCTTCGAGAAGCCTTCTTTGTTTGAAAGAATTGCTAGATGGCAAGTAATGCTCTCGGAATATGATACTATATACGTGAGCCAAAAAGTAATAAAAGGGGGCGCTATAGCAGAATTTCTTATAGATCATGCTACTGAAGAGTATGAGCCAATGAAGTTGGAATTTTCTGATGAAGACCTAATGACTATTTTCCAACTGGAGGAAAGGGAGCATGGAGAAAAATGTTAGAGAATGTACTTTGATGGAACTGCTAATGCCTTGAGGCATGGAATTGGGGCAATTCTGATTTCTCCAGAAGAACAATACTACCCTATAACAGCAAGGTTAAATTTTAATTACATAAATAACATCGCTGAATATGAGGCATGTGTCATAGGCTTACAAGCTGCTATAGATAGAAAAGTGAAAGCACTGAAAGTGTTTGGAGACTCAACTCTAGTAATATATCAGTTGAAAGGAGAATGGGAGATGAGAGATTCAAAACTCGTTCCATATCATAAGTATATTCTAGAGTTGACGAAATAATTTGAAGATATCCAGTTTGACTACTTACCTCGAGAAGAGAATTTGATTGCTGATGCATTGACTACTCTGGCTGCAATGATTCGAATTAATGATAATACCGACATTCAGCCCATCAAGTTAGATGTTAAAGATATACCAGCTTATTGCTTTAATATAGAGGAAGAAGAAGATGGAAACCTATGGTATTATGACATCTTACAGTATATTAAGGATCAGCAGTACCCAGTTCAAGCAACAAAAAATGATAAAAAGGTCATCTGAAGATTGGCTATGAGCTTTTTTCTAGATGGGGATGTCATGTACAAAAGAAGTAGGGATCAAGTATTATTGAGGTGCGTAAGTAAGATTGAAACGAGAAAAATTATTGAAAAGGTGCATGATGGAATATGTGGGGCAAATACCAATGAACATATGATGGTGAGATAGATCATGAGAGTAGGATATTACTGGTTGACGATGGAGAATGATTGCATTGACTATGCTCGTAAATGCCATAAATGCTAGATATATGCTGATAAGATCCATACTCTGCCATCTACTTTACATGTTATGGCACCACCATGGCCATTCTCAATGTGAGGCATGGATGTCATTAGTCCAATCACCCCAAAAGCTTCTAACGGGCACAGATTCATTTTTGTGATGATAGATTACTTCACAAAATGGGTAAAAGCAACATCATATGCAAGTGTGACATGCTCTGTGGTTTGCAAATTCATAAAGAGAGAGATCATCTGTAGATATAGGCTTCCGGAGAGAATTATTTCAGACAATGCCAAGAATCTAAATAGTAAGATGATGCAAGAATCTAAAGAGTAAGATGATAATGAACAAATGAATATGCATTTAAGAGGTTCTTGCATTCCTTTGAAAAGAAATCCAAAATGATCGAAGGCAAAAATGATGACAAGATGGCAGAAACTTGAAAAATGACACATGGGATGGCCAAATGTTGAACATGGTGATGGATTACTCAATAAGATCTAAAAAGATGATATGATCAAGAGATGAATATGGTGATAGATTGGTCGACATAACCTGTGTATTGTGATTAAATGATGAGAATCAATAGACAAAATTCATTTTGGAACGGCTAGTGCTGAGAAACCTGACATAATTTATTCTGAAATAGTTACTATTGAGAAGCTTATGAATGGTGGTCAAGTGATGAAAATAATAGAGATCAGTTGATGAAACTCATGAAATGTGAGATGGTGGGGTCTTGAAAACCATATTACCACAATTTCATGACATTTATATGTATTACATGCATTATGTTTGCTTCGTCATTTGAACAGTACATGTACATGATTCGATGAATATTTAAAGTTTTGTTTAGACATGCATCAGCCAACAAATATTAGAATTATGATTTAAGATATGGCATCTATATTATTGTTTGAATCCAGATTATTGCACTTGCATCCTTGATCATGACATATAAAATTTTGAGTCACTCGAAGAAGAAATTATGATTTTTTTTATAAGAATCCTGATTTCTTAAATGAGAATCTTTAAGGAATCCTCAAATGAGAATCTTTGAGTGTCAAATGAGAATCTTTGAATTTTAAATGAGAATCTTTGAGGTTTGAAACCCAAAATTTGTATCGAATGTGAATCTAATGAATTCTAATAAAAATCGTTGAATTTCAAATGAGAATCTTTGAGTGTTAAATGAGAATCTTTGAATTTTAAATAAGAATCTTTTGAGTGTGAAACCCAAAATTTGTCAAATGTGATCTTCGGATTCAAATAAGAATATTTTGAATTTTCAAATGGAGATTGCTTTGAGGTATTGAAACCCAAAATTTAATCGAATTTATGAATCTTCGAATTTCAAATAAGAATCTTTGAATTTCAAATGAGGCATCTTTGAGGATGTGAAAACCCTAAGTTTGTTGGGTGTGGGAACTATTCAAACTAATGAAAGTTTTGAACTTTTGGTATGCGAATCTCGGTGAAATTTTTGAGTGAGAAACCTTTGAACTAGATGTGAAACTCTAAGATTTCTTGGATATGAATCTCCAAAATTCAAACGAAAAGCTTTGAACTCAACTTTTGGATGTAAATCTCTAAATTTTTTAGTGAGTACCTTTGAACTTAGATGTGAAACCCTAAGATTTCTTGAATGTGAACCTTTTGAATTCAAACGAAAAGCTTTGAACTTTTGGATGAGAATCCCTAAAATTTGAATGAGAATCTTTAAATGTTGGATGTGAGTCTTGCAAATGCGAATCTTAAGATCCTACAAAATTGAATCCTTCCATATCAAAAATTTTAAGAATCAAATTTCAATGAGTTCTTACGAAGCTAAAAGGTTCTTGCGAATCTAAACCTTTGAATTTTGAGTTTCCATGACAAATTTCATCAGGTCTGATCTACAACACCTTTGGACATGATTGTCGATGAATATTTTACTTTTCAAAGTTGTGATGCCTTTGTTTAGAGGAGTATTTTTTTTTTCAAAATCGTTGAGCCTCTATTTAGATGAACTTTGTTTACTTTTTCACAAAAAAAAAAGAAAAGATGAATGTGTTGGAATGAACATATGTAGGGTGTCTACGTCTTTGCACAATTCTTGTTGCATAGAAAATGCACAAAGAGGGGTAGCTGTAGACACCCTAATTGGTTCGGGCTTAGGCCCATTGGGCCTAATCAACAAGGTCCGAGCTTAAACCCATAGGGCCAAATTCAATAGGGTCCAAGTGATAGGCCTAACTATTTTTTTTTACTATTATTACTTATTATTATTATTATTATTGTTATTATTATTATTATTATTATTATTATTATTCTTGTTTTTATTTTGAATTTTTATTATTTATTTTATTAGTAAAAAAAAAGAGGAAAGATTGCAAATTCTACCGTGCATAAGCATTGGCAGAATTGCAATTGGTTTCAATCTCTACAGAATAGTTCTTAGAATTTTTGATAATGTGCAAATCTGATTGAAAAGGAAGTCCTAATTTATCAGAAACTCTGTTGAGTGTTCTCTATAAATACAACCATGAACAAATCAGAGGGGAAGACATAAAAATACAAAAGGCAAAATTTAGAAAAATTTCTAAAGGGTGTCAGAGGCAATTTTAGGATTTTTAGGATTTTTTTAGAATTTTTGGTTTTTTTTTGGAAAATTTTTGGAAATTTTTTAGTTTCCATTGAATTTTTTGACATCGGTTGAATTTTTTGGTGAGGAATTCTAGAATTCGATGATGATTTCGGTGAAAGTTGAATTTTTTATGAACTTTCGACGACACAACCTAGATTTTGATGATGTTTTCTAGAATCTAGTAAGATTCAACTAGTGTTTATCGGGGTAAAAGAGAAGGAGAGAAAAAAAGGGAAGCGAGAGAGGGAAAAGAAGAATTATGCTAAAAAGGCTGAGAATTAGCCTTATATACCTATTGAAAACGACGTCGTTTTGGCCTTACTAATCCTAGAAGATCCGCACGTTTTCAAGCGGGCAACTCAACCCATAACGTGACCCGAACCAACAATCCGCATCCTTGCCTGGGCTCCATCAGAGCTAAGCCACAAATCGAGCTGCCAAGCCGCACCTCTGAGCAGTCTTTGTGCCTCAAGCTGAGCCGTTTCAGCCGCTGAGCTGAGCTGCGCCAAAGGTTTTTTTTTCTCTTTCATTTAGTTTTATTGTTTATTTATTGATTTTTCCCTTATTTATTTAATGACTAAATTAAAATAAGTTATTTATTTAATTAAACATCATTTAATTTTCAATGATCTCTTTAAAATGAAAATGTGAAAAAAAATATTTTTAGAAGGAAAGTTGAATGTATCAATTTCTTTTGAACATAAAAATTAAAAAATATATATTTTTAAATGAAAAGTTGAAAGTATCAATTTTTTTTGAAAATAAAATTTTCAAAAAAAACATTTCTTGAGGAAAAGTTAGAAGTACCAATTTTCTTAAAAATAAAACTTGAAGAAAAATATTTTTAAAGGAAAAGTTGAAAGTATCAATTTTTCTTGAAATTAAAATTTTAGAAAAAAACATTTTGAGGAAAAGTTGGAAGTACCAATTTTCCTTAGAAAATAAAAATTACCAAGAAAAACATTTTTTTACGAAAAGTTGAATGTATCAATTTTTCTTGTATAAAAGCAATGAGTTTTTTTCTTATAAAACAAAAAGAAAAGGATTATATCAAAAGTCGAATCATTATTCTTATTTTTTCAATTTAATTTAATTTCTTTTTTCCTTTCTTTTCTTGAAAATTTTTTAATGTTAGATAATCTGATGATAGAGCCTCTATAAGTAGAATAGTAGTTTTCTTACATACTTTTGAGGTGAGGAAACTTTCTTAATTTTCTGCAAAAAGTATTGGAGTCAATTAAAAATAATTTTCAATAATTAATTACTTAGTAAAATTTTTAAGACTTAATGAGTAACACAAAATTGAGTTGGTATTATCTTTTTATGGGCATTGTGGGGGTGCTATAATCTTCCTCACACGTAACCATACTCTCGGACTTAGTTCTGGTTTCACAAACATTGAATCTACATTTTAAAGATCTCTAAGTCAAACTTAGGATTTTTCTTTAAGGGATGGATTCAGTCAGATGGTCAATCGCACCTAAATAAAAAGGTTTGGTGGAGACTTCTCAAGTCAATATCTAGCGATAGATCCCTAGATCTAGACATTATGACAGTATTTATACTAAAAATTTCTAGGTATTTGTTGTTTTATTTTGAGAATGTGAAATTTGTTGGTAAATGAAAAAAATAGGTAAGTTGGAGGCTTATAAGGGTTTTGATGAAGGTTTTGGATTTAGAAGTAAAAAAATGGGTTTATACATACAAATATATATATATATATATGTATGTATATTTATATATATATTAATTAAAACCTAATTAATTTGTTTTTGCGTCACCTCCCTCACTTTGTATTTACATTGCAGAATGAACTCTAATTAGGAGTATACCTCTAATAGGGTTTAGGAAATTGCTATACACAGTAATTAGTTAATTATTTTTGTTTATTAATTTAAAAATTTATTTCATTTTCATATGAAGGATCGTTATTTGTATACATTTAAGTAATTGTAATCAATTTAATTAATAGAGAAGTATTATAAAGTCAATATCTCTGAACAGTAAGTAATAATTAAATATACATTTATAATAATTTATGGAGAGGAATTAACTTATACCAATGTCAAACAAAAAAGTTAAAATGATTTAATCTTATCCTTTAGATTTATTAAAATTAATAATTAAAAAATTTTGAAAATTTTTTTGTGCAAGTTGATATCTTCCCATAATTTAAAAACGCAAAGTTTGAATTTTTTATAAAATAAAGTTTAAAATGCTAATTTTAAACTAAAGCAAAGGAATACATATACACACATATACAGAAGGAACTTAGGTGCTAATTTTAATATAAATGGTTATTTATTAAAACCTCCACCCACAAGGTATAAGATAATGTTTATCATTCACTATATGAATTAATATATATCATTCTCATACAGTCATTCAAATAAAATTGCAACAGAAAAATACATTAATGTATTTAAATTGGTAAAAAAAGTAAATTTATAAAAAATATTTTGAAAGAAATCAATTTTCATCAATCATTATTATTATCTCTTTCTAAATCTAATACCAAGAATACTATAGTTTAAACTTTTAATTATTTTTATTTGTTGAATACTTAAATATCTATTTTATTTTAATATCCAAACATGTTTTTATTTGTTTAAAGAAATTAATAGAAGTATTAAGTTACAAATGAAAAAAGAAAAACCAAGAAAATTAATTTGTCAAAAGCTTAAATATACGTAATAAAAAATTATTTTCTTAATTTCTTATCTTTTTGAAGTTTAACAAATAATCAATAATATTATGTATATTAATTTAACTCAATCACATAAAATATTTACAAAAAGTTAATTTCAGTATTGATGTTTAAATAAACAATCAGAAAATGTTTTGGTTCACATTATTTAACTAGTAGTTAATCAATATATTCATTAAAGCTACAACCTAATTAAGATTCATTACTCCATCATTATAGTTATTAATTAATAATATAAAAAAATATGTAATAAATTTTAATTAGATAAAAGAAATAATTAACAAAATAAAAAAACTTAAAGTAATATTAATTAAATAATTACATTGGTTCCAAAAGGACATCTTTCTAATTACAATTTGAGACTCTAAATTACAGATCTCTAGTTCAAATTATGAAATAAGATATGAGATGAAAGAGTGTTACCATTTACTTGTGGTAGAATAACCTAGTATCACTTGTGCCATTTATTTATGATTTATTTTACTTATATAATGCGTTTGAGAGGTGTGGAACTTCTGTGGAAGAAAAAATATTATAACTTTACTTCATTATTCCTTAAATCATTAAATATTTTTATCCTTATCATCATTTTTTTTCTTTTTTAACTTCTCAATATTAATTAATCAAATCAAACTAAGGGTGTGAAACATTTGTACAGTAAAAAAAGAATTTGTTTTTTTTTTTTAATATCTAACAATAGAATTCTTAGAATATACACTTTCGTTTTTAGGTAAAGTCTTGTTTAATAAAAGCTTTAAATTTCTTTTTTTTTTTTGGGTTTTGTTTTTATAATTTTTAATTATATATTTATATTAGAATAATGTTTCATCCATTTTGCGTAAGGTTGCCTTTCTCTAAAAGAAATTATTTATAAGAAACTAAAATTAAATAATATGATAAATAAATAATATTAATTAGGGAAAAAATAGTAATACTTATAAAAGAAAGATAATTATTTCAAAATATTAATTTTCAAAACAAAAACAACTATAGAAAATTAAGTTAATTTAAAAATGGATAAATCGATAATTTTAAAATTTAATTCACAACTAAATATTATAATCAATTATAATTTTTATTTGTGCAATTTTTTTGACACATAAATAGTATGCAAAGCTATTTAATTGTATAAAAATAAGTAAATTTTCGTGGAAAATCATTTTGATTATAAAGAAAAAAACTTTTTAAAAAATTGCATGTGACAAATATGTCATTTCGACCTATTAAAAAACGTAAGCTAATAATAATAATCTAGAAATTAAAAAATCACGTCATACTTTCCCCACAAGCTAAAAACAAAAAAAAAAGGGAAAAAGCTCATCACTATTCTTTTTCTATCACCAAAAAAAATAAAAAAACCCAAAAACTTATACTTTTCCTCTCTTAAACCCCATTTTCTTGCAACGAGATTTTGACTTGATGGCAAAAAGAAAATTTGTGGATTTGATCCAACTTTGAATTCAATTACACGTTTGAAATTAGCCAAAATTTTGAAATCCCTTCTTCTTTTTAGCAAAATAAATGAATATATTTTTTGACTTTTGAAAAGCCTGCTTGAAATTCATTACACCCTTCAAATACTTCATCCAACCATAGCCTAGAAGAAGAAATTTAATAAGGGCTTGATCCCACTTTCAACAAGAAATATTAGTGTTTTCACATTTTAGGTTCGTTTAATTCTTTTAGTCATAACTTATACTTAACACTCATTGGTTTAGAAATAAAAAAGTAGCCAACATTTCAAACAAATAAAAAAGAAAGAAAAAGTAGACAGAATAACGCAGATCTTCCTGCATTTTAAAAAAAAAAGTCATAAAAGACGAATCAATTGCTTTAAGAAATGCAAACTTTCCAACTTTCAGAAAATTTGCATCATAATCATATTTTTTTTTTATAAAGGCGTTTGATTAAAAAAAAAGAAGATTATTAATCATATTTTTATTTTTGATTATTTAATTATTATATTTGGTTATACAATATTTTCGAGTATCAAGAATGTAAGATTATTAGTAATATCAAAATAGGGCTTCAATATCAAATAAATTACATACTAAATCAATACCCAAAAATATTTTAACCATAAAATTTTTTTTTGACATCTAACTATGTTCATAGTTAAATTTTTTTGTTTTTTCCTTTTTAAAAAAATAGATTTAAATTTTATTTTAGAGAAAAAAATACTACATCAATCAACTTAATAAAATATTTTGATAATTTTTATTTTTCCTGCTTTGCATACCCTTTTAAATGCATTTTGATAACCAAATATACAATATGCATGAATCCAAATAAATTTGTTTTGCCAAAATACGTGATCCCCGCTAATTTCCCTTCCACAAAGAAAGAAAAATAAAATTTTAAGAAAGATTAGTGCAAATAAAACTTGTAACTGAATTAAGTTCACTGTCATGTATAACGGATCCAGGAATTATAATTGGTGATGCAAATTAACATATATGTACAATATTATGCATAAAAAGGATATAAATAAAAATTAATTTGTTTACTTAAAGTTTTTATTTCTATTGAGTGTATGTTTTAACTTCATTTAATGAAATATAATAATTAATGATAACTTTAGTATATATTTTTAAAATTAAAATATATTAAACAAATTTTAATTATTTAAAATTATTATTTTATTTTTAAAATAATTGTTTTTTATTATTTAATTAATTTATTATTATTATTTAAATAATTTGATAAATTTAATTCATAAATAAAATTAGAAATTAAATAAATAAAAATGTGCCAGATAGATAAAAATATAGTTTATATAATAGTTTAGTATGAAAATATAATTTAATATTAAAAAGATTACGATTTTCAAAAAATTATAATCTAATATATAAAAGGACTACGATTTTTAAAAAAATCATAGTTTATATAGATAAAATTGTAGATTAATATACATATAAGCTTTGATTTTTGAAAAAACTCATAGTCTAATATAAAAAAAACTATAACTTTTTAAAAAATCGTAATCTAATAGTAAAAAACCGTAATTTTTAAAATTTTTCTTCAAGTTCCCTGGCTGCCCCCACCCTAATCAACTGTGTTTCCTTTTTTCCATCATAATAAAGAAATGAAAAGAAAAAAAATTGGAAACATCTCAATTGACGCCAACGCCAGTTGGAGGAAGACTTCATAAGTCTGTCAGGAAGTCTTTCAAATTATTCATGATTTACGTGGTCTTGCAATCACTTTGGATCTATTTGGTTGGATATTAAAATTAGTTTTAATAAAATTAAAAATAGTGGTAGATATAAAATAGATTATTGTAATAAAAAAATTAAAATCAGTAGTAAAATGTATTTGAATACAAAAATAATAATAATGATGAGATGAATTATAATAAAAAAATTATCATTAAAAACATTAAATTAAAATTATATGTAATAAAATATTTAAATTATTATTAAATTATTTTGTCAAATAATGATTTTATTAATAAATAATTAAAAGTTATTTATTAATTTATTATATAATAATAAATTTTATTTTTATATTAAATTTACAATATTATTTTATAAATTTTAAGTAAAAAAAAGAAATAAAAAATTAAGTGATGAACTTGAAAGAGAAAACAAAAAAAAATAAATAAACAAATAAAGGGCCATTGAGTACTAGAACTCAAAACTCCATTGAACGGTGAAAATCACATCACACTATAAAATTATTTGGATTGCACAGTTACGGGTGAAATAATTTTTAATGGCAACTGCATCTCTATTAGCAAATATATGGCAATTGCGCCAATTATGGAGCTTTGAATGGAGTTTATGTATCTTTATCAAGGACACCTATATGTTCAAAGTTTTTTTAACCAAATATATGTTCAAAGTTCATTTACTAGTTAATACAAGATTATATGTTTTAAGTTTTCTCATTTATCAATAACATAAAAATGAATTTTTTTTTATTTTTTATTTTTTTGAACAATTATTTATTTAAAATATTTATTGAAGAATTAAGTCTTAATAAAATACATTTAATTTTTAAACATTATTATATAAATGTCATGAAAATTATAATTGATTTATTCATTCTGTGCATATTTAAAAATAGAATAAGAATAAAATATGCTTCGCTCACTAAGGATGATAACAATTCAATTTAGATCGGATTCAGTTCTTTTTTTTTTATTACATAATATTAAGAAAACTTAAAATCCGATTCGAATCCGAATCGAATCGAACCAAATTTTACCAATTCGGTTTATCAATTTTTAATTTTTAAATTTTTATATATTATTTAGTTATAAAATTTTAATATATTTATGTAAATTTTGATATAATTTTTTTTTATTTTATAAAAATTAAAAATATATATAAAAACTAAAAATATATATATAATTCGATTCAGTTCATTTTTTTCTGTTTTTTATTTTTTGATCTAAAATTTGATTCGAATTTAATATATATTTAATATTTAAACTTAATTCAATAGAATAAAAAATAATCCGAACTAAACAAACACCACAATTTCAAATCAATTTTCAAATTTTTTAAGTTTTTTCTCACCCTGTCGCTCACACCCTACCTGCCCCACCCTAGTTAATTGCCTTTCTCCTTTTCCCACCATAACAAAGAAAAAACGTAAGAAAGGAAAAGAGAAGAAAAAGTAGAAACATCAGAAATTGACGCCAATGTGGATTAGAGGAAGACTTGAGAAGTCTTCCAAGGTGTGTTTCACGTCATTCATGATCTACTTGGTTTTGCAAGGATTTGATCACACCGTAATCTGTACTCAATTAATCCCGACATGTTTTCACCACATTCATGACTTACGGTGTTGAGTTGACTCGTGCGTGTACCACATTTACTCATATATTAGTCTTCATAGAAATTAACTGGAAAAGGGTTTAGCCGTGTTATCCACGCCAGCCAATGTAATTTTTCCTTAAATAATTAACAAAATATATATTCCTTTGAACTATCCAAATCATGGCTACTTTTTTAATATTATTCTAAGTCCTATTGTTTCTCATGCTTGTGTCGGTTCAGCCATCCTTTGTTTATCCAAATGTAATCATAAATATTATTATTATATTTAATAAAACCTTATTTTATGTGAAAACTTAACCAAAATTTAACATTTTACATGCTCAAACTAAAATTTTAATATTTTAATATAGTAGGTTCATTGTTAATATTAATTTACACAATTCCTTTATTAAGAAATATTACACGATTTTAATAATTACATGAAAAAAAAAACTTTTTAACATAAACATTTAGCAAATAATAAGTACATATCTATGGTAAACATCTAATCTTAATCAATTTAAATTTGTTTGATTTTTGGTGTTCGATATCAACTTCTTATTTGAGCTAACTTAAACATTTAAATTGAATTTAATTTGTGTGAACTTATTTTAGATGAATCATTTCTTTCATTTTACATGGATTAAAGTCTAATCCAATTCAATTTGAGATAATTTGAAATTAGGTCATAGGGTATTAAAAGCCCAAAGTTGATAGTGAAAGCCTAGAATACATTTTAAAGCCCAAAAATTCAAAGGCCCAATTTTATTTAAATATTTCAATTAAATGAGAAATTAGACCAAAAAATAAAATGGTAAGAACACAGACCGAAGCTGGCACTACTAGCAGCCACTGCGTTGCACCCTGCACCCTACCTTCAGTACCCTGCACCCTTAAACCATTAGCCACCAGCTCTGATAAGGTGTTGAACATTGGACCTTGTGACCCTAACCTATAGATAAAGACTAAGGGATTACTCGACTGGAGGAAGATACACACAAGAGAGTTCACAGAAAAAAAAAAATACACAAAAATTGGTAGAGAAAGCCACGATTCCCATTCGACCAATTTCCCACTACCCTTCAACTACTGTTATAGACACCAAAACTAGCCCTTTCATGACCACCATCGACCAAAAAAACCAACCATAACGCCACCAAAGTACCTTTAGCTGAGCTCCCCTCACCATTGACACTCCCTCAACTCCACACCCATGATTCTCAACACTTCCCAGAGAGTAACCCCAATTCCCATTTGGCAACCGCCCAAGCCTCTAACACAGCCTACTTCCCCAACAAGCAGCAAAATCCCATAAGGCCAGTTCCCCCTCTTGGATTCCTGCTTCCAACTGAGCACACTTAGCCAACCTACAACCTCCTTTCACCATCAGCTCTAGTAGCACCCTTCACCACACCACTAGTTCCTACAAACTATTAGTATTATTTTCTCTATTAGTATTATTTTCTATTTCATCATTTTTTTACTTAAAAAATTTTTCCTTTAATTCTTTTGTTTTTTAATTAGATAATTTCTTTTAAAGAAATCCAATATATGTGAACAAGCGGCACATTATTTCACCCTTTTTTTTTAATTTGGTTTTTTTTTTTATTTTAATCAAATAATTGACAACAAACACAATCGATATATTAAGTTTCTAAGAAAAATGTTAGTTAAAAGTATGCATAATAAAATAACCCGTATTAGATAGGTGCATTCTTTTTATTTGGAATTGAATTAGGAGTTTTTCACAAAAAAATAAGACCAAGATAAAGATAGATTTATGATGTTCCATTTTGCCTTAACAATAAATATATGTACATTAAATTATATTTTAAATTATTTTTTTAATTTTATAGTTATATATATGTAACACATTAATAAAGTTATTATTTAATATCTTAAGTTAATAAAAATACTATATTTATGCATAATTAAAATACAATCCATCAATCCATCATATAAATTTGATTCATTTTAACTTTTGTTTGACTCTTGTTCGAGGTCTCAATGTGTTACCTTCAGTTTTTTTCAATTTTTTTCATTTTTTCAATTTTTTTTCATTTTTATTTTTATTTAAACTTTTTATTCTTTATTTTTTATTTAGATAAATTTTGTGAAAAGAATTATATAAGTGCTCATGTGACACCTTAACTTGTTTTTGTTTTTCTTTTGATTTTTTTAATTAGATAAATTTTCAACAAAATGAGAGATTGATAGGAATGGCCAAATAATTTGTATCCAATGGGCTTCCATACAATTGAGAAGTTTACACAGTACCCAAACGAGCTTCCTTTTTCTTTTTTCTTTTTTTAATCTTTTTAGTGAAAGTAATTTTGGACTTTTTGTTAACCCGAATAGCCTGATGCAATTGGCCCGCTGACAATTCAATTGAACTTTTAAAACGGGTCGAAATTGAACAATTCAATTGAACTATTAACAAAAAAATCATTCAAGCCCTATCTTTTTATTACAATCCATCAACCCCTCTAACATATTTTTGCATCAAATTAAGGTATTATTTGGACAAAAAAATTAACATTGAGCTAACTTTTTTCCCTCATTAAGATAAAATTTCATGTGACATTAATAAAATAGTTATATTATATATATATATTCACCCGCATAACTTTTGGGTTTATTAATTTTTATTCAATTTGGTTTTGTATAGAGATCAGCTGGTCTAAGTTTGTTATTGCAGACGGTCATTCTTCCCTTATGCATTTTTCCTTTTAATGTTTTGCTAATTTAAACAAATATCCATGTATAAAATTCAGTAATCTGCAAAGAAATTTGCTATGGGTGGTTTTATTTTGTAGTATCAAATTTGGAATAAATTACAATTCAGAGCCAGTATCATAGTCCTTGAAAGACATGAGCACCGGTTAAGTTTCAACTGTGATTTTGCCTATGGGACGGCTTTTAATCCCCTTGGAGCAATAAAGGTTGCTTATTACTAGGCTACTTGGACTGTCTCAATGACATAATAGATTTATATAATTTGATTAAATGCTTTTAGGGAACCATGTTCGTCACTTTGGAACTATGATGGTGATTAGCATTAAAAAAAAAGGAAAAATTGTCTGAATTTACTGTGTGCATTTTCCCTGACATATTTGCCCTTTCTCCATGCGTACCAGCTGCAGACTAGATCTCAGCTTCGCCCATTTCATCAACTAATTGATTCATTTAATATATTACTAACAAGAATTAGTAGTTTCATTCCAGACTTAATCAATGTGTGTTTGAGTTCAGTCATAACTCATATCTGGTTATTAATATAATAATAGATGTATTTGATAAATAATGACTATTTTTTAACTTTCTCCTGGAGTTTTATATTATTGAAATAGAAGGCAGTGGTAAATCAATAACAAATATTTGATTGCTATTAGTTAGAGAATCAGTTTCCACAGACTTTTGGAGTCTGGAATCTCATATTTTTCTTAACATAATTTTGAAATCAGCATTTATTTCTTTTATATTTCATTCTCCATGTAGATGTTTATCTCTTTCCGAGATATTAATAATACTTTTATTTTCTTTTTTCTTTTTGGGTGCAGACAGTAGATTCAATTTTTTGGTATTAAAGTTCCCATTAGCCTAATGGAACTGAATGCTCTGTTTCGTGCATTGATAATGCATTTTAAGTATGCAAATCAAATGTTGATAATTTAGGTCAGTATCCTTTATGTTTAACATTCTAAGTTGATGGATTTGACTTTCATTTCTATGAAAGAAACTAGAAATTCTTTTTTCCTTTCTCTTTTATTGTATTTGTGTAGTCAATATTGTTTCACTATTTTGGTAAAATACAAAAAAAACAATAACCACTAGAGTTTATATCAATGACAGTTGAAATGAATAGGTGATGTAACCCAGTTGGAGTCAAAAGTTGGATCTAAAGATGTTAATGGAAGATTTGTGATATATTATAATATCTTCAACCATCTGGATACGGCTAGTTTATTTATGGAATGAGCATTCTGTTACTTTTTACTGCTTTTGGACCATCCCTTGTTAACATAG